GGGGTGTGTGTGGTGAGGGCGGTGGTGGGCGTGTGGTGTGTATGGGGGTGTGTGTGTGGTGAATGGAGATGGGGGTGTGTTTGGTGAGTGGGAGTGTGTGGGGTGTGTGTGTGATGAATAGAGGTGTGGGGGGTGTGGTGTGTGTAGAGGTGTGTGGTGAGTGGGTGTATGATGTGTATATGGGGTGTGTGTGGTGAGGGCGGTGGTGGGTGTGTGGTGTGTGGGGGGGTGTATGTGGTGAATAGAGGTGTGTGTGTGGGGGTGATGAGGGGGGTGTGGTGGGTGTGGTGTGCGTAGGGGTGTGTGGTGAGTGGGTGTATGGTTTGTATATAGAGGTGTGTGTGGTGAGGGGGTGTGGTGGGTGTGTGGTCTGTGTAGGGGTGAGTGTATGGGGAGTGGGGGTGTATGATGTGTGTAGGGGTGAGTGTGTAGTGAGTGGGTGTATGGTATGGGGTGTGGTGGATGTGTACGCAGAGATGAGTGTGTGCCAGGACAGGTCCACCCTAGGCACAGCAGATGCAGCCAGAGTCAATAGGACGAGGAGCCCTCACGCCCCAACAGGTGGTGGTCACCATTTGCTGAGCACCTTCCCTGGGCCAGGCTCTGGGGACTCTGTCAGGAACCAGACCTACGCCAGGCCTCACCTCTGCTCCATAGTTTCTGCCCAGGGTGGCAGCCAGTGCCCCGCTAGAGAGACGAGAGCCTGGGGCTCAGAGAGGGCAGGGACTGCATGTGCCCTCCAGAGACTGCTCCGGAGGACAGCCCCCGTTTGCTGCCTAGATCCCCACAGCAAACCTGTACAGAGCACCGCTGAGGACAGGCTCTCTGCTCACACCAGTGCAGACCGTTTTCCTCACAGCCCCAAGAAGAGGCATCTTCTGTGCAGGGAAGAATGAAATTCAGAGCAGCAAAGCTATGTCCCTGAGGTCCAGCGGGCCAGCTAGCAGACCTGAAGTGATGATTTGGGATCTGCTGGCTGCAAAGCCTGTGCTCTTGGCTGAGTGTTCTCTGTTTGCAAATGTTGGTTGTGTTGTGTTGTTTTGCAGTGGAACCCTTTGTTAGTAAAATCTTTTTTGTTATTTGTTTTGAGACAGTCTAGCTCTGTCATCCAGCATGGAGTGCAGTGGCACACTCTCGGCTCACTGCAACCTCTGCCTCCCGGTTTTAAGCAGTTCTCATGCCTCAGCCTCCCAAGTAGCTGGGATTACAGGCATGCACCACCACACCCAGCTAATTTTGTATTTTTAGTAGAGATGGGGTTTCGCCATGTTGATCAGGCCGGTCTCGAACTCCTGACCTCAGGTGATCTGCCCGCCTCAGCCTCCCAAAGTGCTAGGATTACAGGTGTGAGCCACTACACCTGGCCTTTAGTAAAATCTTATTGGAATCCCAAGAGTTAATGCCAAGGATCTATTTAAAAACCAGTTACGGGCCAGGCGCAGTGGCTCACGCCTGTGATCCCAGCACTTTGGGAGGCCGAGGTGGGTGCATCACCTGAGGTCAGGAGTCTGAGACCAACCTGGCCAACATGGTGAAACCCTGTCTCTACTGAAAAGACAAAAATTAGCCAGACGTGGTGGCACATGCCTGTAATCCCAGCTACCCGGGCAACTGAGGCAGAAGAATCACTTGAGCTCGGGAGGCAGAGGTATAGTAACCCAAGATTGCGCCACTGCACCCCAGCCTGGGTGACAGAGCAAGACTCTGTCTCAAAAAAATAAATAAATAAAAACCAATTATACTATTAAAACCAAAAGGTCTGTGGGGTCCTGAAACCCACGAGCCAGCCCAACTCTCTCCCCTCCCCCAGCCTGGCAACACCCCACAGACCCTACAGGCCCCAAGCCTCCCCCACCTCCCACCCACCCTATCTTACAGGACAAGAAGCTGATCAAGGCCCTCTTTGACGTGCTGGCCCATCCCCAGAACTACTTCAAGTACACAGCCCAGGAGTCCAAGGAGATGTTCCCACGGTCCTTCATCAAACTGCTGCGCTCCAAAGTATCTCGGTTCCTGCGGCCCTACAAATAACCGGGGGGAGCGGCCCTGCCTGGGGGTGGCCTGGTCCACGGAGGGCGCACCTGCCCTCCACAGTGGGAGCTGCATGGGCCACCTCGTCGCCTTGGGAACCCCATGGCACTGCTCTTCAGGGAAGCCAACCAGCCCATGGAGACCGAGCCCAGGCACCCTTCGGACCCGCTGCCCCTGTGGGAGCACCCTGCTTCAGGAAGCCTCCCTCCCTCCCTCCGCCTCCCTTCCCCAGGACACCAACAGCGCCCTCTCCTGAGCCCTGGCGGACGGACTGCAGGTAGCAGGATTGCAGGACCTCCGCCCGGCCTGGCATTTCAGGAGAGAGGGGAAGTAGGGCCTATGCTCTGGGAGGCATGGTCATCCGAGACTGGGAGGCCAGGGCAGAGAGGAGGGGACAAAGGTGCTGTCTCGGGGAGGTCGATGAGCCTGTGCTAGCACCCGCAGGCCCCACGCTCTGCCAACTCCTCCAGCCACAGGCAAGGCCATGGCTCCGGGCTGTTATGCTCTAGGGGTTCTGTGATGGGATGGAACAGAGCTGCTGGGGAGGAGACTGGAGGTTTCTGCGTTCCTTCAACAGAACATTTAAAGAAGTACTCTATATATATATATAAAAATATAAATATAAATATATATATATACACTTCTATTTGTGGGTACTTTAGGAAAACGCTCTTTGGTCACTGTAAATATGAATTGTGACCCCATCCCTTCCTGCATGAGCCCAGTGAGTCCCAGCAGCTCTCAGCCTCCCTGAACGATTCAACAGCTCCTCCCAGCATCTGCCCTTCTGTTTCTGTGAGGCTGGCAGCCCTTGGGGCTGGGGAGAGCACAGCTTGCCTTGGACTTGCTTCCAAACACGAATTCTTCGAGAACTAGCTCAGATGCTCTGCTGGAGTGCTGACCTCACCCGTCCCCTTGCCAGCATCATCACTGCCCTTGGACAAGACTCAGTGGAAGATACTTCCCCTTGGACCTGTTCCTAGGAGGTGGAGGGGCCCCGCAATAAACTGCAGAAGGGGCCTTGGCTCTGACCCTGTGGCAGTGACCTTGGGGTCCGTACTATGCCCAGGTGTCAGCAGGAAACAAGGCCTTGCTCACAGGAGCACAGGCTGTGCCACCACAAGGAGACTCAGAGCAGCCAGTGAGGAAAGGGGAGAGAGAGGAGCTGGCTGTCAGAGGCCTGGCTCCCAGCGCAGCCTCCTCTTGCTACACCATGCCGCCCCCACCTAGAGGGAAACCTCTTTCCTTTCCTATAAAGGAAAGAGGTTGAATTGACTCAGAGTTCAACATGGCTGGGGAGGCCTCCAGAAACTTACAATCATGGCGGAGGGTGAAGGGGAAGCAAGCACCTTCTTCACAAGGTGGCAGGAGAGAGAAGCAAGCAGGGAAATGCCAAGGGAAGGAGAGTCTGGACTATGACCGAGTGCATGTGTCCCACCCAGCCGGGAGGCCAGCGCTGGGGATGCCGCCAGCAGAACTCCGCGCCGAGGTCCAGGAGGCCATGCCTGCTCTTCATCTGCCTGTGCGCTGCGGGACCTGCGTGGGAAATGATCTGTATGTTTCAGGTTAACAAACACTGAAAATCCCAAGGGACCTGGGAGACTCTTAAAATGAACTCCATTCTTCGGCTTGAAGTTGCCTCTAGGGTTCCTCCTGGTCACCCCTGGGCCCAGCCTGGCTGGCGAGACATGAACACGGTTTAAGAGGCTGTGGCACACTGAGGACTGCACAGATGGAGGCAGGCAAGCGAGGTCCCCGGAGGTTCAGGGCTTGGTGACGAGGTAGGCCGGTCATCACATATTCTACAGCCCAAAAGAGGGCCTGGAGCTCAGGAATTACGCTGTCACATGTGCCCACAGCAGCGGGGTCCCCGGCCTTCTCTGCTGCCATCAGCTGCCTTCTCTGCTGAAGTCCGACTCAAGGTGTAGAGAGAGTGGAGCCTCTGCACTTGGTGGGTAGGTCAGTGTCAACTAACAAGCCCTGCCAGGGGCCACTGCCCCTCCTCTGGCCACAGTCCACACAGGCCAGCCCTGGTTTCCGGAAAGAGGCCTCCCTCCCTCCCTTTGTGGAGCCATCAGTCATCCCCAAGATGAGAGGCGAGCGTCCTCCTGAGTGAGCCTGCAGCAGCAGCTCCTGAGGGGGTGCCGGGACGGGTGTCGCCTCATGATTCATGAGTGTTCTCCAGAGAAACAGAACCCAGAGGATACAGACGTAGAGCTGTGAGGGGCTGCATTATGGGAATTAGCTCACAGATTCTGGAGGCCAAGAAGTCCCACGATCTGCTGTCTGCGAGTGGGAGACCAGAAGAAGCGACACCGTCACTCAGTCTGAGTTCAAAGCCCGAGAAGCCGGGGGCCACCCTGTGAGTCCCAGCATCCAAAGCCCCGAGAACGAGGAAGACAGATGTCCCAGTTCCAAAAGGGAGGGTTCTCCCTTCTTCCCCCTTCTGTTCCACTGGGGCCCTCAACAGATGGGATGGAGTGGATGTCTTCACTCAGTCTGCCGGTTCCCATCCTAACCTCTTCTGGAAACACCCTCACATGTTTTCCCAGCTAGCTGGGTATCCTCCACCCAACCAAGACGACCATGCAATCAACCATCATACTTAAGGGTTTTTGTTTTTTGTTTTTTGTTTTTTGAGATGGAGTCTCGCTCTGTCGCCCACTAGAGTACAGAGGCGCGATCTCGGCTCACTGCAAGCTCCGCCTCCCGGGCTCACGCTATTCTCCTGCCTCAGCCTCCCCAGTAGCTGGGACTACAGGCGCCTGCCACCATGCCCAGCTAATTTGTTTGTATTTTTAGTAGAGATGGGGTTTCACTATGTTAGGCAGGATGGTCTCAATCTCCTGACCTCATGATCCGCCCTCCTTGGCCTCCCAAAGTGTTGGGATTACAGGCGTGAGCACTGTGCCTGGTCAGGGTTTGTTTGTTTGTTTGTTTTTTAATCCTTTCCAAAAACAGAACTCTTAACCTCTCTGAGCTCTTTCTGCAGTTCCTTTGGGTGGTTTTGAAAGTTGCCACCCACATACCCACAGATCCACTGCCCGCCTCCCCTCCCCTCATGTTCCAGGACTCACCACCGTGGTCAGACCGTGTCCAGCGTGCCCACCCAGGGCAAAGTTGGATGGGCAGGTGCAGACGCAACCCAGCCTTCATCTTGCTTTCCCTCGCAAGCCCTTCTATAGCTCCCAGCCCACGGGAGAGGCCGTGAGGAGCGCAGGGTCGCCAGCAGCCCCCCTGGGCGTCCCACACCATCTGGGTTACTTGAAGTCCAGGGTTGGGCTCTGTCTTGAGTCTCCACATCAGTCTCACACTGGGGAACTTGGGGTCCCCCTGTTAAAACTAGAGCTGACCCTGGGCCTCAGGGCAGGATGGTCCCAAGGAGAACTCCGTGGAGAGCAAAGCACATTTCTTCCAGTTGGTGTGTTGTTGAAGCCAACGGCAGCTTGACTGATGTGAAGTGGCTATTCCACCTGGTTCAAGATGGAGGTGTAGAGAAAAGAGAAGTGGGAAACAAGGACTGGGCCAGGTAGGATGGATCCACGTAACAAAGCCCAAGAAAAGATGGAAGCTGAGGGTGTAGAGTGCCGGAGGCCCCTATGCTGTCTGAGGGGGAGGCCAGCATAGCCCCTCCTCGACTGTCGCCTGAGCAGCTGATGAGGTCCCCAGCGCTGCACACTGTGCTCCAGGGAGAGGCGCCAAGAAGCGAGCAGGCTGCTGAGAGTCCCTGCCCTGCTATCTGGCTGGGACGGAGGCAGATGCCGGGTCTCCAGGCTCCTCTGAGCTTGGGTCAGCTCCTAGTGGAGCACTGCACCCTAGGGAACCGAAGGACCTGTGTGAAGACAGGCATGGAAAACCAGAGTGTCTCCCGTACAGCTTCCCAGGAGTTAGGGGGAACCCAGGTGTGGGGGGACTTTTCTGCCTCACATTCCCGGCATTCCCCCCAAGTTTGTTTCCACTTTCCAGAAACAAACCACGGGAAGGGAAGGAATCTGCGGCAGGGTTTCGAAGCCAGCCAGGCCCTCCGTGAGTGAGGGCTCGTGTAGCTGCTGAGGGCAGCCTGCAGCCAGGCGGCCTCATCCGCTGCCCAGATTAGGCTGTGCCTTTTCCAATTCCTTCCCCGCGCCAGAGCCTCTCCCCATCCTTCCCCGCGCCAGAGCGTCGCAGCCACAGCCACGCCAACCTCCCTCCTCCTGCTCTGGGCTCTGCACCGTCCTCTCAAGCAGCAGAATCAGCCTGCGCTCCCCAGCCTCAGTGCCTCTGCCCCACACAAGTCGCGCTGGCCAGGCGGTGAGCAGTTTCCCAAACGCTGGCTCCCCAAAGGGACAGTGTGGCCCACTCCTGCCCTGCCTCCATGGTGGCCCAGGCTGCAGGACCCACGGTGGAGGCCTCGGGCAGCTTTCTCTCCGGCTACCCATTGGCTTGGGACACACAGATAAAATACAGCGAAAACATGGGCCAAAACATCCCAGACAAGGATGGCACAAGAGGCCAAATTTGAAAGCCCTGGGAGAGAAACCATTTCCCCCACTTCTAGCGAGCATGGTTTCTGTCTGAACGGCCTCCCTCTCATGCTCATTCTCCAGAGACGCGCCGTCCGCAGGCAGCCTCTCCGTGAAGCCGCTCCCCGGGCTTGTCCACGGGAGGCAGCTCCTGGCCTGTCTAAGCCATACCGATGCTTAATGTACATTTTTGGAGTTGAATATTATTCCGGCACCTCCACCACCCCCAGCAGAAAAAAATAAGATACTGAAGTAAGTTGAGTCATTTAGCAAACATTTACTGAGCACCTCCCGTGTGCCAGGCTCCTAGAAAGACAGGGAGTTGGTGCCCTGCATAGATGACAAACTGCCCCCGACAGCAGACAGACAGACACACTTCTCCGGACAGCAGACAGACAGACACACTGCCGCAGACAGCAGACAAACAGACACACTGCCGCAGACAGCAGACAAGCTGCCGCAGACAGCAGACAGACAAACAGACACGCTCCCCCGGACAGCAGACAAGCTGCCCCGGACAGCCTGCTCACCTTGCCTGCCACAGTGCCTGCCCCGCAGGGAGAAGCCTTCCTTCTCACGCAGGGGGTCCAGCCGTTTTCACCTCCCCTGGTTCATGCTCAGGAAGTCTGGTTGCCCTGGCAAACTGCAGCTGACATTGAGGTCCCTTTTCACCAAAGATGCACAAGGTGTCCGTGCCGAGCCGACATCATTCAGGCTAAGGGCAGAGGATGTAATGAGGGGTGAGGGAGGATGTGGAGAGAGAGCAGAGCGCTCTTCCTATTCTCCTGCGGCTGCCTCTGCCCCCACAGCACCCACAGATCCCTGGCCCTTCCAGGAGTAAGTCCTGGGCAGGCAGAGCTGGGGTTGGCCTGATCCCACCTGCTTTGCTCTTGGAAAGGACATCAGGTGTGCGCAAAACATCCTTGGAGCCCAGACAACACAGGCATGGCCTGCGTGCCCTCCCAGCACCTGCTGCGATGGCCTCAAGGCCTCTCCAGTCACCTGCTGCACCATGCCACTCAGAGCCCCTGGGTGAGCCCCCTGGAACTGTCTGCACCCCCCAAGCCCCAACAGGAAGAAGGGAAGGGCAGGGAAGCTGACGCTCACTCAGTGCCCACTGGGCTCTGGGCTCAACCCTCTAATATCCACACATCCCATCCTCCCAGCCCTGTGTGGATGGTGGGGTTAAGACCATTCTTTAGATGTGGAAATGAAGGCTCCAGGAGACCACAGGACATGCCCAAGGCAAAGAGCTGGTAGTCCCTGGATTTGGGAATCAAACTCAAGCCCATCTAATCCCAGCGTAGGAAATGTCTCTAAAACGTTGATCAATCGGAAGCTTACAGACTGGAAACTGGGCCAGGTCAGCCCTCGCGGTGGAGTTCAGAGACAGAGAGAAGGTTGCAGGGAGGGGAGAGAACAGGAGGATCCGGGGCCAGGGTGACTTCAGTGACATTCCCTCCCTCCTTCACAAGCACGAAAAACTCGTTTGGAGAGAGGACAGCTTTTGCCTTCCCCACCAGGCAGACAGGGCATTCACTGTGCCAGTGTGAGCAGACACGGCCCGAGGCTCAAGTGCCCTTGCCGAGTGTCCCCACTGCCCTTGGGGAGGCCCCAGCACAGCCCTGCAGAGATGCGAGTAAGAGTGCCCAGTGCCCTCAGCAGATGGGTGGCAGAAAGCAGGAGGAGGAAGAGGGAGCTGACCAATGCCGGGTGTCTTGTTCACTGAGATCAGAACCTCCAACATGCCGAGCAGACCCAGGCCACGTCGCTCGGGGAACAGGACACCAGGGCGCTGTGCTCAAGGCCCGCAGGCTTCACTTCTGGCTCTTGTGAGGGCACGGTATCGTCCAGGCACTTGGCAACGACTCTGCCTACAAATACCGACATAACCACATCTTCCTTTTAGTTGCCACCAATATTCAGTTTTGTTTTATCCATCATGTCCTCCATATGCATGTAATGAAACATTTGTGAAAATCACTTTAATAATAAACAGGAAATGAACCTAAATATTGCTCTTTTCTCTTATTCAGCAAAAGTCATGAGTTG